GACCAAACCTGAAGCTTGAGAATGTTTCCAAGTCAGAGGCCAGTGTGAGTAGATGTGTGTCTTCAGGAGGTGAGTGGGGTGGAGGGTGCAGATCATGTGACGCTTCACAAAGATGATAAGATTTTTTTTAAAAAAAGATTTATTTATGTATTCATACAGAACTAGGGTACAGGCCAGAGATGCGGAGGGTGAGAGGATTCATCAGGGTCAGAGTGGGGAGCAGAACAGGCAGATCGATGAAGTACACTGCTGAGGGGAGCAGTGGGCGGGTCAGGAGAGGTCTGCCACGCCATGTGGTCACCTCCGGGGCAGGCGGGGATCGAACTCATGCAAAAGTGGCTTAAGCTTCTTAGTGCTGTGCTTTAACCTGCTGCGCCACCAGGGAGGGCAGATGATAAGATATTTTAAAGATTATTCTGAGCAAGACTGGAAGTCAGTGGAGGCTTTTGAGTTGAGAAATGACTTGATTTCAATTTAGTCTTTTTTCTAGATGTGGAGAAAACTGTGCATGAGACTGTTTTAGATGGGAAACCAGTGGTAGTTGCTAGACATTTTAAATTCGAGATTCCTATAAAGCTTTCAAGGAGAGACATTGGGATTTAAATCTGTAAAAATTAAGACAAAGCGCTGCCTTGGAAAAACAAGAAGTTGGTGTCTAATTACCCTTTCCTAAAGATTTCTTCTGTATATAAAACCACCCTGTATTCTAGAAGGATGGCTGCTGGCCACCCTATTTGGAGAAAGTTCTCGGTTAATCTGGTGTCTAGGAGAAAGCTCTCAGTTAAGGTGGTCTCTAGGATGGTAGCAGAACCTCCAGGAAGGAAAGTAATCTTCATTGTTGGTCCAGACAGATTCACTTGTCTCTGAATTTCCCTGACCTGTCTGACCTCTGGGAAGCATGTTGCCTCAGATCAGATTTCTTTACTTGCTCCACCAAAGAGGAAGCTGTGGGTGTCCAATGAGTCACTGGATTTTTGTTGTGGTTTCCATTCTGTGTGTCTATATGGGTTTCATCACCACTAAGTTGCTGTCATTTCTCTCTCTGCTTCTTGCACAGACTCTGTTGTCAATGTCATCAGCCATAATTTCCATACTGATAATGTTCTTATTCCCTCGCCTAATGTTCTTAATTTCTCTGCCATCTAGTGTTTATCAGGCATTTTACCTGATCAGTTTATACAGTTCTCACATTGTTTATAACCTAGATGCTAACAGTGTCATCACCAGATCTGAATTCCCATTCTAGCATATTGAATATGGGAAGTCAGGTAAGCTTTCATTTTTTCAAAGACTTGGATTTATTATTTGTAAAGAAAAAATACTTATTTCATTTATACTGAACAATTTATGTTCACTGTCTACAATAGTTCCTGGCATATCAACAAATATTAACTAACACTCCTGTACAGGTATATTTTTTATGATGCTTCAGGGCTATAGCTAGCATCAGCTGGATAGTTATATTCTCCTATATATATTGTATGGGTTACTAACATTAACTATTTTGCCAAAGGAATTCCTTTTATCCCTCCTCACAAACTGTAGAAAATCCCAATGTTTACACAATAATGTTTTCAGAGGTTTTTTCCAAGTAGTCTAGATCTTTGTATTTCTTTTTTAATAAAATACTTTTGCTTGAGAAGGCGTTATTTCAGTATTAAAAACTGATGTGATAACCTACCTTCTTCACTGAAGTGAAGGGTACACAGCTTTGAGCTGCCATAACTGCAGTCTATAAGATGAACCAAACTTGTTTTATGCTTTTCTGGAATAGCTATCTTCATCAGAACATATTATTAAGTAAGCTTCCTTTATTTAAATTTTCTTAGTCACATGAATGTTCAGTAGAGGTCCATTTAGAATATCTAACTTGCCTTGTTAGATTGGAGCTCATTAGTCTGTAGTGAATACCTGTTCTTCTCTTTCAGTGATGGTCCTATTTACCTCTTTCCAATCTGTAGAAAGTCCGTTCATTCTTTCTAGAAGATGTACAGAATACTCAGTGACTTTATTATGCCACCAATCTGTTAATTTGAAATTTTGTCGTTGCTTCAATTCATGATTTCACAGGTTACTTTTGGTTGACTTTTTGCTTTCAAGTAACTTGACTGATCTTGCCTTTGCTACTATTATCTAAGGCTTTGTAGTGTCATTTGTGTGATTTCAGTTTTTAGATTGTACAAGAAAAACTATTTTTCTTTTCTTTTTTTAAGTGACTAGTTGGATTTTAAAATTATATATGTCTCTCTCTCTCTTTATATATATATATATATATACCTTCATTTTGTACATTTTTTTCCACTCAGTTGTAATCCCCGTGGACTTCCCACCACCACTTCCCCCACATGCCATCACCATTGTCCTATGAGCTCTTCCTGACCCTGTTTCCCTCTTCTCCCCTGTAAAATGTCTCTGGTTTATAGTTGTTAGTTGATGTTCATTTTTTACTTTATTACTTTTTTTTTCACTCCTGCTATGAGTGAAACCATCTGGTATTTTTCTTTTTCTTTCTGGTGTGAAATCAACCTAAATGTCCAAAAATAGATGACTAGATCAAGAAGATGTGTTACATATACACAATGGAATATTACACAGCAATAAAAAATAAGCTCATGTCATTTGCAGCATGGATGAAGCTGGGAGGAGTCATGCTTAAAGAAATTATTTTTCTTCAATAATGGTGGTGACTATTTGTATGACACTTGACTAGCTAAGCTGGCATGCCCAATGACATTTGTCATAGTTCTTCAAAATTATTTACAGAATATTACTTTTATGACTCCTCTTTGAGGTATGGGCAAAGAAAGCCCAGATTTATGTCCTTAGGGATTATAAATTTCAAGTTTTTACCTACTTGAAAATATCAAAGGTATGTGTTGGGAGGGGGTAGTAGGGTGTAGAGGACACACTAAAGGTCCAACAAAAGTCTAGTGAATGAATCAAGATCACCTTGCTAGAATTCAATCTATAAAGCATTCTTATTCATCATTCATCCTGTTTGCCACCTTCTTTTAGTTGTGTTCATTAGTGTCAACCTCCTATAAATTTAGTTCTGCTTAGTTTGGGAGTTGACCTGGAAAAGTGACTGGCTCATATTTGTTCTGTGTTTTAAGGTCAACATTGCAGCTCATGTTTGCCCCTAATGCTTTGTAGTCCCCAGTCAGGGAAGAAAGAGGTTGAGTTTGGAAAATTCCATCTTGGCTATGAGTGTTATCCAGTGATTCCAAGGATTCTTCTCACTGTCCCTCTAAAACAACTAGATCTCTAAATTTGGGAACTTTGTCTTTTAACAAGCCCCTGGCACATAATACATATATTGTAGAATTGGTGAAAAGTATTATTCCATTCTGTACTCCCACAAACTACATACATAGTAGTTAGCACAAGATAATAGTGTGTACTCTTATCAAAAGAAATATATATAGTAATGTGCAGATCATAATAATACATTTGTTTACTAAAACAAAAATAAACAAGGCCTATAATATTTATTTAGAATTTATTTTACTGAATAAATAGAAATATAATATATATTTTAAATAATATCTATAAAATAATACATATAAATAAATTATATGATATATAAAATAATATATAGCTATAGTATAAATTATTCATATTTCAAATACTGTAAATTCTTGGATTTTTACACATTCAAAAAATTCTAATTAATCACTATAGTACAAATAAATTGTATTTACACTCAACTGTTTAAACTTTTCCTTGGAGTACTTGCAAGCTGGTCGTTTTGGTTCAGGGGATACAGACTCCAGGAGCACTTGAGATGAATTGCCCAAAGACCCCTGGGAGTAACATGCTAACCTGGGAAAAGAGGTGGGACTAGTTCTGCTTTATGCAAGTGAGGCTATCTCTCAGTGCAGTTCTGATTAGTCAAAAGTTTTGTCAAACTGTGATTCATTAAATTTACAGATCACTTTAAGTAAACTCCTTCACTTCTATGGCTAAGAAATCAAAACCTTTGAGAAGCCAGAGAGTTCACCTTCTGTTGCTAGGTCACAACAGAACCAGGACTATGACCCAAATCTATCTTTCTTTGGAGATGGAATGCATTTCCAGTTGAATTTTCCCATTCAATGACCACACATTGATTCCAATTTATGCATTTTGGGTATCGTCTCTTCAAGATGTTCTTCATGGTGCAAGAAACTTAGTTACAGATGCCACCAGGTAGTTTACTCTTGAATAGACCTATCAGAATTAGTAGCATATTATGCAATTAATGGATAGATTTGAGATAGGAAAGTGTCAAGTTGAATGCATTCTTAGAATAATTTGACTGCTTGAGCCTGGCCTTAAGTTGACCAATAGATATAAATTCACCCCCTGATTCATCATGGGAGAGTAAACAGATAGTAAAAGAAGTTTGGGTGAGTGGGATGAATGAGTCTATTGGTTAGTTGGCTAGACTGTTGGATTAGTTGAAAGTTAGTATGGACTTTCCTAAGAGGTGCAGTAGAGCCCTTTGAGCAGAAAGTCACAAGTCTTAGGAGCAAGACTACGTTTTATGACTTGAAGCAAGTGTCCTACTCATCCCTAGGAGAATATAGTGAGGATATGTGCTTGGGCAGAATAGAAACAGTGTGTAAACAGGAAGAGAAGAGAGACTTTTTAGAAGCTAGAAAAAAGAGAAATCAATACTGAGCTTGAATTCAGGTATTAGTTGAAAGGTACTTTCCATTGCTTCTCAGACCTTTGGCTAAGATTAAGTACAAAGACATTCCCCAGACCCTCTTCTTTGTTGAATTCTGTATTTTTCCTAGTTTTTGTGTTTACATATAAATACACCCATATGAAGTGAATGCATTATAAGGAGCATTCCTTTCTTTTCACAGCATTTGCTAGAGAATTCCTCTGTAATTTTTGAGATGTCCTAAGACTAACATAGAGAACAACACACTTTATTCAGTATCATGAATTAGAACATTCTAACAAAGGTACTTATTTTTATTTATATGATGTAAAGCAACAAAACATAGGGAGTTCTCATGAAATGCAATGCACACTTCTCTCCTGTTGGGGCTGTAGCCAATTTCTTGCTCTTATTCCTCTTCATTTAGGTGTGCCTTCTTGTCAAAGAGATTTTTTTCTTTATTCAAATATTTGTTTGTGGCATTTCACAGATCCGGAACAGATTGAAGAAACAGGGCACATCATTCCAATTTTGCCTTGGGTTTGAAGAGTCTCTTATGGTGGCACAGTCCTCAACAGTAGCTAAGTTGTTAGGCTCTCCTGCATCCCAGAAGCTGAAAGAGAGAGTCATGGGCAATTGGAAATCCTAATGTCAAGAGATCAAAGACCCCAGTACAATAGGCAAATTGCATTTGTGTGTTTTCACTTCACATATTACCTATATGTGAGGTAGGTGTTATAATGTTCATATCAATGAGGAAGAGAGGGAATCCCATAAAAGTGAAACCACTTGTCTAAGTCATAGTTGTGAGTCATGAAGCAGACTGGATCTTTCAGATTTTCTGCTATCTTGCTCTCTTATGCTATAAGGCCCAGAGTAAGAAGTTACGGAAAGATCTATATCCTGATGGACTTGTTTCCTTTGCACTTATATCTTGATTCTTATTTGGGTCCTTTTATTCTACAAAGGGCTTGTATTAACTTAGGTACATCCATCAAAAATATTACAATGCTGAAGTGAAGTGACTTTCTAAAATATCAAAGGATCTGGGCTATACTCTAGAAATTATTTAATCTTCTCCCACAACTCTTATTTCCTTAGCTGCTAAGTGAAAACTGATATCGAAGTAGCTCAGAAAGATGCAATTTAAGTAAAATTTAAAAATGAATGAGATACACAATTTGAAAACTCCAAAATGCTGTGCTCTAATGACATCCAGCCATTATAAGGAGAAAGGAGATGACACTATGGAGAGTCCTGTGTTCACTCCATTAAGCATCTATTGTCTTTCTCAAGTCACTATGGTTATCTCATTTCTATAGTTTGGGGGCATAAGGCTCTGAATTCTATTCTGTGCCTCTTGTGAATTTCCAATGAGTTAATCTTCAAGTCTAATCCTTTGTCATAATTATCTGTTATTTCCCCTTTATTGTTGAGATATTTCTAGGAAATGGAAGTAGCAGATACTCATATCCCTGTTTTCTTTCTTTCTTTTTTTTTTTTTAAAGATTTATTTATTTGTGCATACAGAACTGGGGCACAGGCCAGAGGCTCAGGGGCGGTGAGAGGCTTCACCAGAGACAGAGCGGGGAACAGAACAGGCAGATCAACGAAGTACACTGCTGAGGGGAGCAGCGGGTGGGTCAGGAGAGGTCTGCCACGCCATGTGGTCTCCTCCGGGGCAGGCGGGAATCGAACTCATGCAGAAGCGGCTTCAGATTCTCAGTGCTGTGCTTCAACCCGCTGCACCACGAGGGAGGGCCTGTTTTCTTATCTATAATCACTCTTTCCCTTTTTGCTTTGAGTATCACCAAGAATGGATCTCATGAAACAGAAGAATATTCTGGTAACTCCTTCAACAAAATAAAGTAACTACAATAAAGTAAAAGTCAAAATCATCAGGTAACTATAATCAGAGACATTCTGTAAGGGAGGAGGAGGGGGAAGGACCAGGACAGGGGTAGGAAAAGCAGCAAGGACTATGGTGATGGTGCACAGGTGAATTGGTGGAGGAATTTCACAGGTAAACCATACAAAATGATAATGATATCACTGTACACAATGAAGGATGATATAATGAATATATTTAAAAATTTGAAGAAAAAGAAAACAATGCTATAACTAGGATTAGAGTTAGGTTGCAATTATCTAGAAGAAGGAAATTACCTGAGAGACTGGTTGAAAGGTGTGCCATCTACCCATTCCCATTGATTCTCATGCCTCTTGTCTGTCAGTCCAATATAAAACTCTTTGCCTCTAGGTTTTGCATGGAAAAGGAATTTCTAATGAAGATGCACAATAAGAAAAAGAGAGAGAAATCAATTGTTTCAATTCTGAACAAAAGTTGAAGGTAGTTGTTAGAGATAAAGCAGGATTTGGTTTAGAGATGATAGATTAATGGGTCTGAAATTACAAGCTCATAAAGGATCATCTTCTGATTTCTTTTATATGGCAAAACTATATATTACATAAAATTAAACCAAAAAACTTCAACAGAGAAGGATATTCTGAATAACTCATTCAAAAATCTATCTATTGTCATCACTAGCAAAATGTACAGTATATATCTAGCACAAAACACTATTAATGACAACTTCAAGCAGTACTTGTGTGCTCTTTTATAAGATATAGCTAAACATACTGGTCATCATGAAGTGAACCCTTTATCTTCCAACTAACAAAGGGATGAAATATTCCTTTTTTTCTTAGGTTTTTCAAATGATGAAAATAAGTTAAAGTTGGTATTGACTTGTTCCCTTAATAGTCATTGTGAGAACATGTTTGGAGAAGACTGTTGTTCCTGTGAAGAATGTCATATATGGAGAGCTGTATTCCAACTACCTGCTCCTCCTCAGTGTTGATAACCACCAGATGAGCTCCCATGTCTGAGCAGTTTTTTACACTTAATGTCCAGGTCAGTGTGTTCGTAGAAAAGAAGTAGCAGCTAACTTGAAAATATAACCAATTCAGTGGACAGCAATTCTTGACTGAACCTAGGAGAAACGTTTCTGTGAGTCTCCTGTGTGAATTGAGTAAGAAACAGAACCTTTATCTGGAGGGGAGGACCCATAAAACCCATCATCAAAGGGTCAAGAAAGTCAAAATTAGCAAGCTGACCATAGAACTGAGGATACAGCAAAGGGTGGGGTGAGGGAGGAGCCAACGAGGGATGAGAGCAAGGGAACATGGTGATAGTTCATCAGTGATATGGTGGAAGAACTATTGGGGGGCTACAATGATGTAAGAAAATAATTTTAAAAATTTTAAAATAAACATTTTACCATTGTTAATTGAAATACCATTGTTTACATTCTTGTTAGAATTTGACAGTATAGGGTTAGCATTCTCTCCTCAGGTGTAGTCACTATACCTCTCCACTACTGAAGCACCCAGAATCTTCCTCAAAGTCCATTGAGCCTTCGTTTCTTAAAAAAAAAAAAATAATCCTGGCTCTCCCTGGGGGCACAATGGGTTAAAGCACTGCCTTATGAAGCTCTCTGAAGCCACTGCAGCGTGAGTTTGATTCCCACCCCGGAGGTGATCCACATGGCATGGCAGACCTCTCCTGACTTGCCCCCTGCTCCCCTCAGCAGTGTCTTCAGAGATCTGCCTGTTCTGCTCCCCACTCTGTTGCTGGTGAAGCCTCTCACCCACCACACCTCTGGCCTGTACCCCAGTTCTGTAAGCATAAATAAATATAAATCTTAAAAAAGTAAATAATTCAATCTCTCTCAATTTAATGATGAGGAATTTATAGCTCAGAGAAGGAAATTACTTTTCTAGTGACACACAAGACTTTTCTACGATCTGGAATAGAACGATGTGTAAAACTACTGGGTGTATATTTCTGAGGGATTTCCAAAGTTCCTTCTTGTTCACTTCATTTTGGAAACAGATGATGAATTGGATGGGATGCATTCCTGGGGACAACATTTTCTCAATTAACCTTCCAGGCATGTACCTCAAATATATTCCAGAAGTTTACTATAATGTCCCCCAAATTTTCTTGCACCAATGCTAATTGCTTTCCTAAAATTCTTCTCCTACCTTCTCACCATCTCTTCATCATCTCTAAGAGAACAGGCAAGACTTTGCATTTTGACTTGAAAAAAGAGCCCATGCTTCAATTACTTTGCTTATCCCCCAATTGATCTAGAAACTAGAAAATGCTGATATGTACATTTTGAAGTTCAAATCTGAGGATTCCTGTACCTGATCCATCATTGTAGCAGGAGGGTGCCATCCAATCATCTCGTGGCTGGAATTCTTTCTCATCACAGAGTTGAAGGATGTGATATGTCACTGAAAGGAAAGGGGCAGACTAATGTTCATTCCTCTTGCTAAAAAATACATTTTATCTGTGTTTGGATTCAAAACAGAAGAACCAAAAACTGTGATAATATTCTATTACTATGTAATTTTCCTTCTGGGAGAAGGGAGGAGGAGGGTAGGAGGGGGAGGGGGAAGAGGCAGAAGTGGAAGAGAGGGAGAGGAGGAATTCAGTTATGATTTTTCTGACTTATGAGGATGAATGCATGTTATCTCAGGCTCCGAAGGTTCAGAGAAAGCAAATATGTTTGTATTTTCTCTTATGCCAAGTTTTACCCTCTTTTATTTCCAGAAAGTGATTACTCGTGTCTCTGGCTCCAATTGTTCTCAAACCAGCACCTCGGAGAACAAAAAGCCGGGATTGTTGTGGCACTTCATGGTCTGATTTATTCCCAATAAGGCAGTTAAATGTGCTTGACTGATTTACCTGAAACAATGTCTCACCTTATCTTGCTGACCAGATCCCAGCCACCTGGCTCAGAGCTCAACCACCAAAGTAATACAAGAAGAACCCAGAGCATGTGCAGGCTTGATCCTGAGTGACTGGAAGTAGCCAAAAGCCACATTAGCATACTAAGATCTCCTCCTGAAATGCCAGGTAAATTGAAGCATGTCCTATCTGCGCAACTGTGCAGACCCTCGCTGGCCTGGTATTCCAGCATCCCAGCACTCAGGACTTCCTCTTTCTACTTCTGTGCTTTCCCTTTTAAAAACCTATGAGGTCAAGATGAAGTTTTTGGGATGATGGAAATATTTTTTGACGTGTTTATGGTGATGGTTACACACCTATATACATTTGTTAAAACTCATCAAACTGTACTTAAAGGAGCAACTTTTATGTTTGTATATTATACTTTTATTTTTGTTTATTATACTTTAATAAATGACTTTAAAACAGTTTGAAGGTGAACTAGAAAAAATGAAAGCAGAGACCAACAAGAAGCCTGAAGAAGGGTGAGGCTCAAACTAGGGCAATAGTTTCTTTATTGGAGGCACAGGGCTTAAGCATCCTAATCTCGAAAGTCAGGCAGACTTGAGCTTGAATATTGACTTTGTCATTCACTGGCTGTGTGATCTTAGGCAAATTCTTTAACCATTGTAACATTGTTGATCTATAAAATGGGGATAAAAATAATATCAATCTATGGTGACTCATAAAACAAAATTAAAGCCTTTTGAATTCTCTACTCGAGGCATCCCTTGGGGGGATTTGTGCACTTGTCACAAGTCATGAAACTTCTCTTTCTTCCATAAACTTGGACCTGGTCTGTTGGCTGCCACCCACAGGATGTGAACCTCTTGCATTTAGTAACCGCTTCTCACAGAGAGGGTTACAGTAATGACCAGGGTATAGAGGGAAGGGCTCAAGGCCACCTGCAAATGAAGAATATCTGTCATGAAAATAGAATCAGAAGTCATTGAAACTTGGTGACAGTTCTTTTTTTTTTTTTTTTTCAGGAGAAGAGAATCCACAGGCAGCAAGGAAGAATTTACTTCAATATTCACCAGGGAGACTTAACTTGACCTTCAGAACTTACCAACACATTTAGTGATAAAACAGGCACTGAGTAATAGCATGGCAACCCCAGCAACAGTCCATAAGAACACTTGGGAAGAGAAAAATAGTCTTCCTGTAGAAAGACAGAAACATAGTTAATCTTCCCTAAGAAAGATACAAAAGAGATGCATGAGATTCTTATGCAGCCTTACAGTTTTCCTTCCACCAGCACTTAGTGTGTTGAGTAATTCTCAAACCTTGGCATGCGTCAGAATCATTTGGGGGATTTGTGAAAACAGAACCCCAGAGTAATTGTTGACAATTTAGTGGAGTTCATATGGATCCAAGTTCTTGGGAGCTGCTGATGCCACTGGCTTGGAGACCATACTTTTTTTTAAAAAAAAAAATAATGTAACAGTTTATTTTTATACCATTTTGTACATTTTTTTTTTGGAGACCACACTTTTAATTGTACTAATTTTAAGACTGATTCATCAATTTGGACAGAAATGTGATTTTTTTCTGCCAGTTCTCCCAGATTTTCCTCTTCCTTTCTCCCTCTCTTTTTCCTCACTCTGTTTTTCTTGTCTATTCTGCTCTCCTCTTTTTTGTGTCTCATTTTGCAAGCCCTTTGTAATTCATTAAGCTACAACTTGCAATCATCTAGTAGTTCTTTCCTCCATCCTCCCAATGCACATTTTATTCTTTTCCAAAGATTTATTTATTCATTCATGCAAGAACTGGGGCTTAGGCCAGGGTTGGGGGTGGGATGGGGTGAAAGGACTCATCAGAGATAGCATGGGGAACAGAACTGACAGATGTACTGAAACACACTGCTGCGGGGAGCAGCGGGCAAGACAGGGGAGGTCTGCTGCGCCATGTGGATCAGCACCCTAGCCTGGGATCAAACTCATGTTGCAGATGGGGGCACCACCAAGGAGCCCCCCAAAGTACATTTTAAAGTTAAGAAAAATGGATTCCCCTCAAGTACAGTGACTTGTTCAGAGGGATCCAGTGAATTGTAGGAAGAGGAGAACAGCAGAAACTGTTCAGTTCGGTGACTCTCCCAAACTGAAGACAGCCATCTTTCCAATATAGTTTTCTAATCATTCTCTTTTATGTCCTTCTCCTTCATTCTCTCTTCCTGTCTCTCTGCCTCTTCTACTTTACTGAAAACTTTTCTACTGTCATGCAACATAAGTATTAATCTCCAAAGGAAAAAGAAATCTATAAAAGAAAAGAGACTTGCAGAGTTTACCTGTGCATTGTGATGAAGGCGACTTGGATGAATTCATTCTTTCTCTTCTTCCACCTTCTTTTCCGCCTCAGTTGGAGTCCTGGAGTGTTGTGTTGGTAAGATTTAAGGAGAGTGAAACTTGAAGGATGGAGGCTTTATTTTTGGAAACTCAACCCTAAAGATAACAGAATACTAACTGTTCTGTGGCTGTGTGCTTAAGTCAGAATTTCCTCTCTTGCACAAGAAGGATGAGGGAGTTACAGGGCAACAAAGTGTGTCTGCACACTCCAACAGCAGAAAACGGGGAAATGATGAAATAGTAAGAGGAACAAATTGTGAGGAAATATAAGGGGCTTAAAAATAATTGTCTTACCAGAGCACCCAACGCCACAATAGTGAAGGCAAAGATAAATAGATGGGACTATATCAAGTTAAAGAGCTTCTGTACAGCAAAAGAGACATTACTA